ACACACACACACACACACACACACACACACACACACACACACACACATAGAGCATAGTGAATTTCTAAATCCCTAATCTGCCTTATACTAAATCAGGTCATGATCTCCCATTAGCCCTGATTGTCAACTAACTGTCCACTTCAATATTTTCTTTCTGTTTGTATTAGACAGTGGGATTGATGATCCTCCAATCATTTCTGTGCCTTTTTTCTAGACCCTCTCCAGGTCCCCCAGGCACTAGGGCTTCTATTCTGGCTCAGACTTTGGAGAGCCCCCTTACTAGGGGCAAAGGTCACTGCCAACATCTCATATTGGTCACTGGGGGTTTTCTGAGCCCTAAACACAGACCTCTGCAAGTTTACAATCTGAGACAGATCACAGAGACATTCAGTGTAGTTCGATTTAATTCAATTCAATTTATTTTTTTTCTTTTGTTAGAAGTCTGAATCACTTCATTAGGCTCTTAGTACAAGTCAAGGCATTGCTTTTGCCTCACCAGGGCTTTACTATCTCTTACAGATAAGTGCCCTACCTCATTTGTCAAGATAAGTCACTGGTCATAGCAAACACTCTTTTTCAACAACCCAAAGGGCAATTCTACACATGGACATCACCAGATGGTCCATATAGAAATCACTTTGATTATATACTTTGCAGCCAAAGGTGGAGAAATTATACAGTCAGTTAAAACAAGACCCAGAGCTGACTGTGGTTTAGATCATGAGCTTCTTATTACAAAATTCAGACTTAAATTGAAGAAAGTAGGGGAAACCATCAGACCATATAGGTATGACCTAAATAATGTCCCTTATGAATATGAAGTGGAGGTGATGAATAGATCTAAGGAATTAGATCTGGTAGAGAGAGTGCCTGAAGAACTATGGACAGAGGTTTGCAATATTGTGTAGGAGGCAGCAACAAAAAACATTCCAAAGAAAAAGAAAAGCAAGAAAGTGAAATGGCTGTCTGATGAGGCCTTACAAATAACTAAGGAAAGAAGGAAAGGGAAAGGGGAAAGGGAAAGGGAAATGAGAAAGGAAAGGATATACCCAATTGAATCCAGAATTCCAGCAAGCAGAGATAAGAAGGTTTTCTTAAATGAACAATGCAAAGAAATAGAAGGAAACAACAGAATAGGAAAGACAAGAGGGCTCCTCAAGAAAATTAGAGATATCAGGGAAATGTTTCATACAAAAATGGGCATGATAAAAAACAAAAATGGTAGAGATTTAACAGAAGTAGAAGAGATTAAGAAGTGGCAAGAATACACAAAAGAACTATGCAATAAAGATCTTAACATCACTGATAATCATGTATCTATCCATCATGTATGTATGTATGTATGTATGTATGTACGTACTTATCTCTCTCTCTCTCCTTCTTAGTGTTTCTTGTAACACTCCCCTTGGGGTTCACTGGCCAACTCATGCTGCTGGTTGGCACATGTAGTTGCTTAATATATGCTTGTTGCATTAAATTTGATAGTACTTGATCCTGTTCCTGAAAACTGACCTCAATAGGCTGCGAGGAGGGGGTAGGTCATTACAGGTGGGGAGGACAGCATGTTCAAAAGGGCAGAGGCAAGAATGAAGGTGGTGTGTCCAAGAAACATAAGGAAACTAGTGTCATTGGAAAGGACGCTCCATAGAGGAGAGCTGTGGGAAATAAGACTGGCTAGGTAGGTAGGGGCCTTGAATACCAGAAAGAAGACTGCTGAACTTGAGCATGACATGGCCAGACCCATGCCCAGGATGATTCTTCTGGCAATCTCGCTAAGATGGACTAGAGAGAAGAGAGATGATGCAGGGAGGCCAATTAGGAGGTTAGTACATTGAGTCCCAGTGAGAGATGATGAAGGTGTGTTCTGAAGTAGTATCTGGTGAGTGGAGAGGAAGGAAAGGATAGGTGAGATATTCTGAAAACGAATTCATAGGATTTGATGCCAGACTGGCTCAAGGGTTTCAAGAGGTAGAAAGAATTCCAAAATGACTCCAAGATTTGTAACACTGGAACCTGGAAGAGTGGTCGTGTTGCTGACAGAAATGAGATGGCTGGGAAGGCAAGCCATTTTGGGATGTGTGGAGTGGAACAGAGGGTCACCAGCAATTCAAGCCCCCAGGACAGATTTAACTAAGGATGAGCTAGTGGGGAGGGGAAGAGATTTCAAACCTTGAGCCACAAAGTCCTATAGGGGAAAAGATCCAGGGTCACCACCTCATGTCTGAGAAAGGCTGAGGCTCCAGGGACACAGGTTCATGGCTGGAGACCCCCTGAGATGGGAGCCAGGTGGAACTGGACTGGGGAGATGTAGCAAGGGAGAGAAGTGGGACCTCTCTTTAGGATCCTATCCCTAATCCTAATCCTAAATTCTTCTTATTTGAATGAATTACTCTTGTGGACAATTCAGTTCTATCCTTTTTTTTGCAGTTAGAAGCCAACCTGTCAGCGCTCTAGTTGAGACAAAGTTTTGGTTGTCCTGTCTAGAGATGAACACCATCTTGGACCCCGTGAGTTTAAGGTGAAAGAAGCGCATTCATAGAAAGCCGTCCTCCAAGCCTTGGAGGTTCTGGGCTGGAGCTGAGCCCAAAAGGTCAACACTTGAGAGGCAGACTGGGCAGTCAATTTCAGACAGGTGACAGGGCAAACCAATGGGGTTGATGAGACTGCAGAGGGAGAGAGAGAGAAAACCAAGAGAATCAAGGCCAGAGCCTTGGGGGAACAGCGGCATTTGGGGGCTAGGGACATGAAGAGGAGATCGGAGCTCACAGGATGAGAAGTTGGAATGGTGCTTTGGAGGCCATCTATCCCAGCTCTGTCATTTTAATGGGGGGACTCTAGTGAGGGGGGCCCCAAGTTCCCCCGGGTCACATGAGAAGCAGCTGCTGAGCCAAGAGAGAGTATCCAGGAGGGGCCGTTGAGCAAGGCAGGTGAAAGGGGGCGAGATCTGAGGAAAGAGCACCATCACTGCATTTGGAGACCCAGGAGGGGCTGGCTTCATTGACTGCTAACAAGGGATGCCAGATTGCAGAGGGTTACAAAATGAGGCCCTTCTAATAACCTCATGGGAGAGGGAACTGAAGCCCAGAGAAGGTAGTAAGTACTGAGTAGTTGCATGTAGTTCTGCTATAGCACACCTGGGTTCAAATTCTGATGCTCTGGCACTTACTACCTACTCATGGCCAGCATTGGCGTGCTATATTCACAGGGTCATGAAGAACTGGACAGAACTGAATAACAAAGTTCATCAACAAACATTTTAAATTACAAAGAACAAAAAAGAGGATTGTACATGAAACTGAACCTCTGTTGTGTACAATTTATTTTTAAGTATATATTAAATTTAACAAGGTAATAACAAAATTGTCCTGTTTGCATTCTATTCTGAACTTTTTATTTTCTTCTATATATTTTTAAATGTTTTATTGATCTTCCTTCCTTCCTTCCTTCCCTCCTCTCCTTCCCTTACTTCCATTCCTTCTTTCCTTCCTTCCTTCCTTCCATCCTTCCTTCCTTCCTTCCTCCTTCC